TTTTTTTTTTTTTGAGACAAGGTCTCAGCTCTGTTGCCTAGGCTGGATCACAGGTCACCACAATCTCAAACTTCTGGCCTCAAGCAATCCTGCTACCTCTTGGACCTGCATGAGCCAACCCAGCTGAGATTTATTTCTTAAACCATTACAAATCAAAGAATCTCTGTTTTTGTTTTTTTCGGGTTTTTTGAGATACAGTCTATGTCACCCTCAGTAGAGTACTGTGACATCACAGCTCACAGCAACCTCTAACTCTTGGGCTTAAGCAATTCTCTTGTCTCAGCCGCCTCCCAACTAGGTGGGACTACAGGTGTCTGCCACTAAGCCCGGCTATTTTTCCTTTTCTTTTTTTGGTTGTAGCTGTTGTTGTTTGGCAGGCCTGGCCTGGACTCGCACCCACCACCTTTGGGGTATGTGGCTGGCACCCTAGCTGCTGAGCTACAGGCGCCGAGTCTACAAATCAAAGAATCTTTGAATCCGCTTATAACCTACAAGCCTCTTCCCTTTCAAGATGTCCTGCTTTTTAAAGCCAAGCAGTATATTGATTTATTATTTTACCCATAATTCCTGTCTCTCTAAAATGTATAAAATTGGCTCAGTGCCCGTAGCACAGTGGTTGTGGCACCAGCCACATGCACTGAGGCTGGTGAGTTCAAACCATGCCTGGGCCTGCTAAAACAACAATGACAACTGCAACAACAAAATAGCCAGGTGTTGTGGTGGGCACGACAGTAGTCCCAGCTACTTGGGAGTCTGAAGCAAGAGAATCGCTTAAGCCCAAGAGTTTGAGGTTGCTGTGAGCTGTGATACTACAGCACTCTACTGAGGGCGACAAAGTGAGACTCTGTCTCGATAAATAAATAAATAAATAAAAATAAAATGTATAAAACCAAATTGTAACCCCACTGCCTCCAGACAGCTTACTCAAGGTTTCCTGGGTATGGCTCTCTGGCCCACAGTTACTCATGTCCAACTCAGAATAAACCTCTTTAATTATTTTATAGAGGGTTGGTGCCCGTAGCAATGGTTACAGCGCCAGC